GGCAAAATTTAACTTCATCTCGCTTCAGTATAGTTTACATCGAGTTGATGCATGAAGCTAAAGTAACTCAGTAAATGAAGATCAACGACAATGCAACCGCATACTAGAATATTGTATTACTGTATTAAAGAAAGTTACTAACAGATGAAAAGTGCAGCGCTCTCGTTGAAGTGAATCCAAAACTTTCATGGTACCAATTTTACCATCATTCATGGTTCTACAAAAGAGTACGAAAAATGGATAGTTAAGTCTTTCTTATTGATATCAAAGCCCGATTTCCTACGAGCGAAGCAACTAATAGCAAGGACACCAATAATTGAGTTTTATATAGAATACTTCATGAAAAGTGTACTCGTGCGGTTTTGCACAGTTGTAAGCTGTTAACGTATCCTAAATTGAAAGAGTGAGCGTAGTGAACGAGTGTGATTCCTTATAAGATGACAGCGACCGTATATGTTTATAATATACATCCTCATACTTATATATTTTGTGGGGCTATTGCGACGGAAGATGCAGAACTCCCTCTGTTATGTATTTGGCAAATTTCTACAACAGTTCTGATAATATACCAATCGTACTTACATGAGGGAAGTTAGGTTATGAAAATCGTGAAAAGACAAGACTCGGAGGCTCACTTCTTTTAAGTGAGTGCGAATCATGAAGCTGCAAAGAACGAAAAGTTAACTGAAAAGTTATTATTATCTTTGGTATCTTCTATTACCACTACTATTTGTTCCCATAATTATCACTTATTGTTGCTTCTTCTTTTCATTACAAGTTCTTTCAAGCTGTCACACCTACCTACATATCAGCACCACTCGTACCTAGAACTAGCAATCAGCTTAGAGGTAAAAACAATTTACAGTTGCCACGTGTCAATACCACCTTTTATGGAACACCCTCTTTCAAATTTTTAGAACCCAAACTATAAAATAGTTTAGACTTTAGATGATGATCTTATCTTCATCGCGACGATCATATCTTTATTCAAAATTTGTTTTTCCGCGGCTCACATCATCTTCATGTCTCATTCCTTTTACGGGTTAAAATAAACTCAACAAATTGGTCTGCTGGGTCTTCATAGCTCAATGATGGAGCACTGCAGCGCTAACGTAGAGGCCATGGGTTCGCATCCCGTTGAACTCCCGAAAATGTTTGCGAGTTTATTTGCAAAATTGCAATAAACATTAATGCGACGATCATATCTTCATTCAAAATTTGTATTTCGGCAGTTCACATCATCGTCATAATCTTAGAGCTACCGCTAGTATAGATCACTTTACAAACAATGTTCGTTTGTCTGAACTTTGTGAGCTAGCTAGCGCTCATGTGCTACTCTTCAATCCGATTTCAAATAAAGCTTTGCTGCTACTACTATTACTAAATACTACTACTTGGCGAAAGTTATGAACCATTCATAAATAATACAAATCGGTTTATACTTACATTAAGACCTCATTTGGTTTCTCTGGGATACTGAAAGCCCGATGCCCAATAGTCTTGATAGGATTATCTGAAAGCAATCTAAAGGTTTGAATTGCGTAAGTGTTAGTATATAAGAAGCTGCCAGTCGAAACGCCAGTAATCAAGTGACCAATCAGTCCTTGAAATACATTGTAAGACGAGAAACCTTCCCCGAGTTTGTGAGCCACTTGAGCGGATTAAGAGAAAGTAACTGGACAGGTCCAATTATTTTCTCTTGGACTAGCTCGTAAGATCTTGTACATAAATTAGAAGAAGGGATCTTCCGCTAAGTCCTAATAGTCCGGTACAAAGGGAATATCCATTTCCCGCTCCCTCGAATATGTTCGCAAACATGTATCTTCTTAATCCTTTCTGTAAGGGTATTTCAGAAATAGATGTTTGCATGATTGATTGCTTGCTGTGGCTATACGAACGCATTCCTTATTTTCACTAAAAGCCACTTGTCATCTACGTCTGAAGTTGAAAAGAAACCTTTCTGAAAATTTGTGATAACACAATTCAGCTACAAAACTAAAAGCAGACTTTCTTTTCTTCATTTTGCCTGTTAAACGAAGTACTAGCTTAAACTAAGGGGGTGTTTACATGACATCGGGGCGACATTCTCGCCGGCGCGAGTTCACTCCGGTTCCCTCTCATGACTCTATATTTGTTTACATGATACCACCACAAAATGCCATGCCGGCGCGGTATGGCGTTAAATCTCCGCCAAAAATCAGGGGCACCCAACGAGAATATAATTCAAAGCCACTTAAACATAGCATTGTTAAACCTATTTTAGTATATAAACGGCAGATATAGGCATATTTTTATCCCCTAAAAATTTTTCATCTGTTCGGATTTACTAGCTGAAGAGTCCAGTGATCCGAAAGTTGTAGGAATCGAAACTGACCTTTTCGAAAATTTCAGCCAGAAAAAAGGCTCCCAAAATTCTAGTTGACCTTTTTAGGGTAAACATCCGTTAAAAATGAGCAATTATACCATTTTTTAGATGTTCGAAAATCATAGGAGAGGCAGGTAAGCAAGACATTTTACAACAAATGTTCCGAAAATTCTAGATCTCAAATCGTCTTCCGAATAGATATTTTCCGAAAATTGACGTCGGGTGCCCCTGAAAAATCAAGTTTTACTTTCGACATCCAAGTTTTCATTTTAACCGTTATGTTTACGATTTAGATATGAACTTTTAGGAACAAAACAGTTTCTTTGCATTCAACATCATACAAGTTCAAAGACGCTAAACAAGATTCAAGATTGAAGTTGCCTCTTGAACACTCAACTAATGGCTTCAACAATCCAGTCTTCGTTTCAACATTGAAGCTTTCGTTTTAACATTTGAGTTTCTGACAACGATCAAAGCATGTTGAAAGCAAAACTTGATTTTTGGCGGAGATTTAACGCCATATATAGGCGCGAGTCACTCCGGCGTGAGCTCACCCCGGTTGTTGTACCGGGGCGAGAATTTAACTCCGGTACGAAATCTCGCAACGGTATCATAAAAAATAAAAGATTGCCCAGTCTGAATTTCAGACATCCTCTAGAGTCAAAGAGATGTTCGAAATTAAGACTAAAAGATTTCTCTCGATAGCTTTTCACCGTTTTCCGTTATCAATCGATAAAATCACTTGATCGCTGACGATTTTTATCGATTTCGTTTTTTATCTATTTTCTGCTCCGGGAAGTAACTACATGCGGAACTGAGGTTATTATGCCTTGATTATTCATAATGCATTTTCCTTCTCTATAAAAGTTGTAACAATACGAGGTAACTACTTTGTTTACTCTGCCTTGGGTCGGTCATCATAACATCTTTTCCGAAAAGTGGACTATACTTACAATATGACAAGCTGTCTCTGGGCTTCGAAAGCTTCATCACTGATTGACTGAAGGTGATTGTTATTAAGCAATCTGTAATTCAGCAAAGAAGAATGCAATATCATGATGGTAATTAATAGTTTATCTACGAGGGCGCTCTGTCGAAGCCACAGAGTGGACGAGTGGTTAGAGGAGTCTTAGAGCGCTGGACTTGCAATTCGGAGGCCCCGAGTTCAAAACTCGCTCTGACCGCTAGCTGGATTTGTTCTCGGTCGTTCCGGGTTCAAATCCTGGGCCACACTTGTAAATAGCCAGCTGGTTTGCCTCCAGCCATTTCAGATTCTTAAACCTCTTAAGTTTGATTTAGATTATTTGTTTCAGGCATTTGCTCAGCCCCACTAGCATTAGTGCTATAAATACTGCCGAGGGTAAATAGGGTAAATATAAATAAGACATTTAAAGCAGTTTCCGGTTAGCACAAACGTATTTTGAACGAACGTATTTTAGCTCACTAGACGTTAGATAGATAGATAAGTAGATAGATAGGTAGATAGGTAGATAGATAGATAGATAGATAGATAGATATATAGATAGGTAGATGGATGGATGGATGGATGGATGGATGGATGGATGGATGGGATGATGGATGGATAGATAGATATATTGATAGATACTTTTTTTAATGAGGGTTTCACTTGATATCCACAGATAATATAAGCGTGGCCCTCCAAAAAAAAACTAACATTAATTATCATACGGTTATCGCGGAGGACATGTGCTCCATCTTTCTGCCACTATTCTTCCTAAGTCAACTTATAACTGGAACAGAAATTGAATTCACGGGTTATGTAAGGTTCAGTCTTGCCTTTAGAAGTGATGCTCTTGCTGTGAATACGAATGGTTCTAGTGAAGAAAGCTACGGGGCTAGACGGCGTATCCGCGCGTCTTTTAAAGTATGAAGGTGTGTCTATTGCCCCATCTCTCACGAGCGTGTTTGAACACAGTGTTAAAGCCTGCAAGTCATCAGACCAGTGGAAAATAGCTAGAGTCAGTGCGGCGTTCAAAAAAGGACGAGAGGAAGACAGAACATGTTACGGACCGCTATCTATGCTCAGCATACATACCAAGACAGTAACTTAATGGAATCCTGCGTCGCAAGTAATATCATTAATCACGTGGTTACGCAAAATTTACTTGAAGACAGGCAATGGGCTTATTGGAAGAAAAAGTCATCAGAACAGCTTTTAAAGCACCTAACAGAGAGGTGGAGAGAAGCAATAGCAAGGAGGCTTTTTGTGGGAATACTGTTTGTCAATCTCACTAAAGCTTTCGACATGGTGTCGCACAATATATTACTACAAAAGCTGAACGAACTTGGAATCAGGAGAGATATTCGGCTGTGGTTAAAGAACTACCTTACAGAAAGAAGACAATTCGTGAGAATCAACGGATGCGACTCCGATACACACATTGTAACTCACGGAGTGCTGCAAGGGTCGGTCCTCAGACCCACGTTTTCTCTTTCTTTACAAACGACCTCTCAAAATCACTAACTACGCTCTGCGGAAACTTATCTGTATGCAGACGACACAAAAATGTAATGTATCGCAGAAACGATGGATTTGCTAACAAACACACTAAAAAATGTCCTAGCAGAACTCCAGGAATGGTGCGACACAAATTTCATGGTACCACACTCGGAAAAATGTAAAGCAATGATAATCCAGCGGCAACCAACATTTACTGGCCTTATCCAAGCTCTTCGTTTTGGCAACAACATCATAAAGTGGACAACCTCAGAAAGACTCCTTGGAGTATAAGTCGATAACAAGTCTGATAACAAGTTATCCTGGTCAGATCATGCTGCAAATGTAGCGACGTCATTCGCATCCAAGTTAAGTTTACTCCGACGCATGCGATTCCTCCGTCGGAAGCAATTAGAAGACTTTTACACGAAAGTGATAATGCCATCAGTTACATACGGTCTGACAATGGACAGTGTGGGATCGTACAACAAGACGCACATAAACAACCTGGAGAAACTCCATGCAAGGGCTGGACGAATTATATATGAGTTGCCATGGGGCACCAGCGCTGATGGGGTCTTAACGCGAACTGGATGGGACAGTCTGGAAACAATGTACAAATTGCGATTAGCGGAGTTTTTCTTCAAATGTATAAAAGGTTATTTAAAGAGTTTTTTACAGAGGAATTTAGACCGCAGAAGAAATGAAAACATCATGCATTCTTCCAAGACCAGAAATGAATTTTCTAAGAAAATCTATACGCTATACAGGATCAATCGCATGGGACAGTTTCACGAAAGTAGTTAGTAAAATGGGTATCCTACCGCAGTCTGACCATAATTGTAACGCAACTCTAAGTAATTCTAAAATCCCAGATTATGCAAGAGAATACAGAAATGAATATCTTTTTATAAGAGGGATTAATAAGGTATGTGAAAATTTTGTAGAGATATTAGGAAGAGAAGAAATATTTAAAAGTCACCAAGCTGATAGACTTATGAGATACTTCAATAGATTTTTAAAAGCCCAACAATTAGATTATCTTAGTGATACTAGTGAAATAAATTTTAAATATGAAGATGTTAAGTCAATAGAGAGTTTAGAATTACAATTAAATGATTATATGAATTTATATTATGATCCAGATAGATGTAAGTTTGATGAGGAAAAGTATAATAATGTGGAAAATGATTTTCCTGGTTTTAAAAGGTTTCTTGAATGTTTTAGTCGATTTAATGATAAAATAAATGTAGATAGTAGTTAAGGAAATGGGTATCCCAGGACATACTTCGAATTACCAGAAATGCATTAAAAAAAACTAATAAAATCCCAGATTATGCAAGGGATTACAGGAATGAATATCTTCTTATAAGAGGAATTAATAAAAAATGTAAGGATTTTGTAAATTTGATAAAAAAAAACGAAGAATATTACAATATTCCTGAAGCTATTAGAATTGTTAAATGTTTAAAAAGATTTAATAAAAGTAGAAAAATAGACAATGTTGAAAATATATGTTTTGATGTTTTTAATATATATATTATTCGCCTAGAATTAGATAATTATATTGATTTATATCGTTGTAAATCTACTGGTGAGTTTGATGAGGAAAGATATAACCTTAATGTGGAAAGTGATAAACCTGGTTTTAAAAGCATTTATAAATGTTTTTATAAATTTTATTCTAAATTAGATATAGATGATCGTTATTTCCCACCTAAAATTTTGAATTACCAGAAATGCATTAAAAAAACTAATAAAATCCAAGATTATCCAAGGGAATACAAGAATGAATATCTTCTTATAAGAGGGATTAATAAAAAATGTAAGGATTTTGTAAATTTGTTAAAAAAAAACGAAGAATATTATAATATTCCGGAAGCTATTAGAATTGTTAAATGCTTAAAAAAATTTAATAAAAGTAGAAAATTAGGCAATATTGAAAATATATATTTTGATGTTTTTGATGTTTTAAATATATATATTATACGCCTAGAATTAGATCATTATATTGATTTATATCGTTATGCATTTACTGGTGAGTTTGATGGGGAAAGTGATAAATCTGGTTTTAAAAGTTTTTATGAATGTTTTTATGACTTTTATTTTAAATTAGATATAGATAAAAGTTATTTCCCAGCTAAAATTTTGAATTACCAGAAATGCATTAAAAAAATAATAAAATTCTAGATCATGTAAGGGATTATAGAAATGAATATCTTCACTAAAGTTTAAAAGTTAGTCTTATAACAATGATTGTTACAAGACTTAAGTTTCTTTAGGATAAACCCCTAGATCCCATAATCTTATAGCAAGATTATAAAATCTTTTTTGCACAGGAGTTTTAGTCATATTTTCTAAAACACTTGCCTCTATATAAAATTGTGATATTGCAGGAAATTCATTTATGAAAGAAAAAGGTACTGTTTCTGAAATTTTAACTTTTTTAATTTTGCTGATACTATTTTCAACTTGGTCAAGTGCTTTATTAAAATTATTTATAGAGTTTCTCATTTCAGAACAGCATACCAAGAGACAATCTTCAAAATAAGGAGCTTGTGTATATAAAAGAGAAAGAATGGTATTATCAATATTTTTTATATTTTCATAAATTTTTTTTGAGGGAAATATTAAGTCATTTTCTGTAAAGGTCATTTTATTTTTATTTTTTATTTTTTAATAAAATATAAGGCTTAAAATATTAGGGGATTTCTTAAAAATAATCTAATCAAATAATAAAATGGAATTCAAAAACGATATTCCTCCAAAAGAAGACAGAGATTTTATAGTTGATGATGGTTATAATCATGATGAGGACCCAACATATCAACCTAAAGACCACTCCTCCTCATCAGATGATGATAAATATTTTGTTACTGGTAAAGAGTTTAAAAAACTAACCAAAAAGGCTAAAAAACTTGGCGCTGAATCGCTTGATTATTCAACACGCAAAAATAACAAATATGTAGCAACACTTTCAAATGGAAAGAAAATTCATTTTGGGTCATCACAATATCCAGACTATCTTATCCATAAAGACAAAGATCGAAAAGAGAGGTATCTCGCTCGAGCTGAAAAGATTAAAAATAAACAGGGAGAGTTAACTTATACTAATCCTGAATCATCTAATTTCTGGAGTGTGAATCTACTCTGGCCAGAAAAAGAATTTTAAGATATCTAGGTATTATATAAAAAATGGAAGATTTAATATTTTCGAAGCATTATGTGGATGATATTTTAGATAATTTACAAGAAAAATTAGAATCAGGTTTTTATCTTGACAAAATTAATATTGATGGTAAATTTGAAATTTGGAAACAAGAAGAAAAATGTTTAGTATTACTTTGTTGTAATGGTAAATCAGATGATGGTAGTGATGGTCTTGCTGTTCGTTTACCACTTCCTCTTAGATTTGATGAAGAATGGTTTAAGAAATATAAAGAACAAAATATAACTAGAGGAAGTGTTATTTGTTATCATATTGATGGATTTTTAAAAAATGATTTAAAGGAATAAAAATATATAATAAAATGAAATTATCCAGTTACGATCATCTAACCTCAGACAACATTATCTTTAATGAAGCTAAAGAGTACAAAGTGAAAGATAGCAAGATCAAATACAAACGTATTCCAATTGAAGTTAAATATCTAAATGGAAAGAAAGGACCACTTGTAATCGAAACTCCACTTCTTTTTAGCTTTGGCGTGAATGAGAAGAAAAATCAAGAAACAAACAAGTTAGTAGGTTATAGTATGCCAGTATGTCTTTGGGCTAAAGATAGCGAACCGAATACTAAAGAAAAAGCATTTTTTGATGCTATTAACAATGTAAAAAATCTCTCTCAGCGACATCTAGAGAATGAATACGGTGCAGATCTAGCATCAAATCTGTCTTCACCGTTTTATTACATACAGGAAGAATATACTGATAAGAAAGGAAAGAAGAAAACAAGAATAGATCCCTCAGCTGCTCCAGTGCTTTATGCTAAACTTATTTATTCTGAGAAATCAAAGAAAATTCTTTCTCTGTTTAAGACAAAGGGAAAGAAGGATTTAAATCCTTTTAAATATATTGATCAGTACTGCAATGTTAAAATGGCTTTAATAATTGAAGGAATCTTTATAAGTAAAACTGTTACATCTTTGCAAATAAAAGTACATGAGTGTTATGTCAAACCACTTAAACCTAGAGAGTCTTTACTAAGAATTGAAGAGGAAAAGGAAGAGGAAGAGAGTGAGCAAGTAGTTGAAGACTTAGTTATCTCTGATACAGAAGAAACTGAGTAAATAATAGGATTTTATTTTTAATACATTATTTGTATTAAAAATCAACCAAATCCTTAGAGCTCACCCTGATGAGTTAAATTTATCAGGATATCCACTCCATTTTACTAGTGCCATTTTCTTCTTATTATCCCTCCTGATAACTTTTTCTATTCTAAATGTCTGCTGTTTTGCTTTCTGTAATTCTTGCCCATAGAAAGAACCCTTAATCTCTTCTCCTGTTAAATCAACAATACTATATGTAACAGGTTTTGTAGGTAAAACTTTATCAATAACAAATATCTCCTCTGACCAGTTTGGTGTGTAACCTTTATCAAATACCTTTCCCTTATACTTAGAAATTCTAACTTTATCACCAACCGCAAACTTTGCTTTACCAGGTTTCAAGTAGATTAAATCACCATACAAATTAGTCCAAACTTTACTTTCATTTTTCTTTTTACTCGCTTCAACAGGAGTCATTTTTATACTAGAATGTCTCGAGTTGTTGTAATCATTAACTAGTTTATCTATCTTGTCCCAGTAAACAGTGTTGTTATTTACAGTAAACATCTTCAACATTCTGTTTTTCATTGTTTTATTCCATGTCTCAACAACACTAGATTTTTCTTCATTTTCAGTGTGATACAGCTTGATTCCCTCTCTTTTCAGAAATTCTTTGAAATGTTTACTGATAAACTCAGAACCTTTATCTGTCCATAACATATTCGGTTTACGTTTACTTTTGAATATATCCTCAAATGCTTTACTAACAGTTTCAGTTTTCTTATCTTTCAACCCCCTAATCCATCCATACTTGCTAAACACATCAATAACCATTAGAAGATATTTAATCCCTTTGTTCCACTTACTAAACGTTTGCATTTCAACTAAATCAGCTGTCCATATATCATCAATCCCGTTTGAGACTACTGATCTCTTTTGAAAGTTTCGTGTGATTGGTTTGTGAAGTTCGTCGGCTAATTGTTGAGACCAATCATTACTCAACGCCGCTTTACGTTTTTTGCTCCCATTCCAAGTTTTTGTTTAGTATTAATTATTGTTCTAGCTAAAGTATGTCCCCATTGTCTTTTTTTCCAAGGAATTGCATCCAAAGATTTTACCATTTTACGGTCAGCTTTATATTTACACTTTCGGTCATTACCACAAACACTATAATAAACATCATGTTGCATACTAACGGCATCAGTTGGTCCAGTTGGTTGATCATAAATTTCTAATATTTCACCAGTTTCCGGATTGTGTCTTACTTGGTTTTCGAGATCGTTGTATGGACCAGTGTATTTATGCCCAGGTAAGGTTCATCCCCTTGCTGGTTTTGGTAATTTACCAACAGCCTTGTGGATATCTATGGCGCCTCCATCAAGATCTTTTCTGTTTGTTTTATAGTTTTTTTCTGGTCGTAGTTTGGTAGACAATTGGTTAAGGGCTTGAGAACCAACATTCTGGATCATCGGATTCAATTTATCAAGAGTATAGTCGATGGCTTTTTTTTGTAATTTAGGATTTCCCAAAGCTTCAGAGCTATAATATCTACCCATTTCAACTGCCTTTTTACCAATCCATGGAGGACCATAATGTACAAATCCATCGACTGCAGTACCAACTGCTGTATCAAAAAGGCCTGAATCATATTTGTTTTTAACTTCTGCTACAGATTTGTATATTTTGTTGGTTCCTAAACCACCACTGAAAAAATCATTTACATGAGCATATTTAATTTGTTTGCCATTTTGCTTAACAATCATTATAGGATTTCCTTCTTTCAGACAAAATGTTTTACCACCAGAACGAAACACAGTTGTTTTACCCGTCCAGAAATTGGAAGTAAATAAACCATCTTCTGAATTAAAAGCACCTTTTGCAATATCACCAGACCAATAATCTTTGAATGTTTGCTTTGTTTGAGGAAACAAGGTTTCTGAAATTTTTTGACCAATGTTTATTCCTGTTTTGATTGGGCCAACGGCATCGCCAACACCTTTGCCCGCCATCACTGACAGACTAATTAGTTTTTTGACTTCTTTTTAGTTTTTCTCTTTTTTCCACTTCCAGTTTGAGAAACTGTTCCAGTTTTTACATATCTAACTTTTTTGTTTCCACAAACTGCGCATCTACAATAGAATTGAGTTCTACCTCTTTTATCTTTTTGGTAACCGCTTGGCTCTGTGCAAGGAGTTACTCTTTTATCTACAATGCAATATGATTCTGTCATTTAGTATAATGTTTAGATAAATATCTCTACTAGATCTAATTTTCTAAAAAGGGAACTTCAAAAGATATATAATAATTTAAACATGAGTTTTGAATATGCCGATTTTGCTAGATTGGAAAATGATGCTCGATTTATAAAAATATTTGAGTTGCTTATAGAAATAAGTGAAAAATCAAGTAAACTGATAAAGTTGTAAAAGGTAATTATCTATTTATATAATAAATGGAGGCCAAATTCTTTTCTGAGATAGAAAAAAAGATGGATGTTAAAACACTAAAAGATTTTGAAAAAGATGTACGAACACAAATAAATAATGAGTTTGAGGCTCTTAGAAAGAAAAATGATAATCTTTCTAGAGTACTAATGGCTGGTGAATGTGAGATGTGGGGAAAATTCAGAAATGAGGAGTATTCTTGGTTAAAGTTAAATAGTGATAAAAAGAAGAAACTTTATCGTCTTATTGACATTTACTCGAAATTTGATGATATAGTTGATAGCGTTAAAGATCTAAATACAAAAGTTGATAGGGTTAAACAGCTAAAGGATACACCGGTGGATTCAGACTAAATATATTTAAAGATTAAAAAAGTAAATATAAAAATGGATGAAAGTTTAATTGAACTATTTAAATTATTAGATAGTCAGTTACTAATAGATTATAAGAATGAAATTCGAACTAAGATTTATAAAGAGATAGATCGACTTCGGAAAAAAGACGATAGATTTTGTATAAGTTTAGAAATGGAAGAAATTAGATTTTGGCTTGAACTCTTAAGAGAACATAATGATAGTAATTTAAAAAAACTTTTTTATATTTATCAATGTTTAAGAGATTTAAAATTTAATATTGATAGTTTTAAATATTTAGTAAATACAAATTAAAAAAATAATATTTATTAAATATTATTTTTTATCCCCCAAAATACTCTTTTATAAAATCACTATTGTCATTATCAAAATGCGGGTTATGTATTACATCAAGAATACTATTACCCCGTTGTCGCTCAAACAGATAATATAAACACCAGTAACCATAGAGAACAGTATTGCGATTTTGTATTTCATCCATTGAGTAAACCATACGTTTTCTAGCCGTACGAAAATACTCTAATGCTTCATTTGGCATTCTCAAACCAAATGGATCGAAGTACTCAACCACCGGTTTACCGAGTACTGAATCCAGATTTCTATAACAACCCAGTGTGTCCCAGGGCCAGTCATGTCATCTAGATTGATTATTCCACATTCTTTTTTTATCTTATGAGGTAGACCATCACGACTGTATATTCCTCTAAAATGTTTAATACCAAGTTTCTTTACCCAATCCATGAGGTCAAAGTTGGATAGAGGTTTGATTACAAAATGGCCCCTATTAATGGAATTGAGTTGAATGGGCTGTTTTTTCCTAGAAGAAGACCCTTGCCTTTGGACGGCCTGCCGGCTTTTTTTTTTATAACCCCCATTCCTATTGGGTTTTCCCAAGTACCAAAAAAGGGTGGTGGGCCATAAGGATAACCTTCACCATATGTTGATGGAGGAGGAGGAGGAGGATGTGGAACGTAAACATTTGTTGTATTAGATGATGAATGTCTATCAACCTGAAGGCCAGATCCAAACATTTTAGATACTAAACTGATTGCCACTGGAATTCCAATAGATGCAAGAGTTCCAAGAAATCCTCCTTCTATATGCTTACGAGTTGGTTTGATAACAAGTCGACCTCCTGTTTTATGAGCTCTGTTGATTTGATTTATTTGTGCTTGGGTAAACTCTCGGGCAAAAGGGGGTAGAAATGGTAAAAATTTTTTTGGAATTGTAATTCCTTTTCCAAATATTTTATTTATTCCAAGTTCTCCAAGTGCAGTTGCAGCACCAGTTGCCAATGAAGGAACAGCTTTTGAAATTCCTTTTATCGCATATGGTAGTACTTTTGCTCCAAGAGATGCGAGTGATGAAAATAAGTTTCCTCCATGTTTTACAGATTTTCTAATCTGAGTTTTACTTATTTTTATATCTGTTCCTGTGCCATTTGCCAGTGATTTTTTTATTTTAGCAATTTGTCTTTTTGTTAGCATTAACTCATCAGAACCTCGAAGATGAGAATGTTTTAACCTAAGAGTTAGTGGTGATTTATTTCTTATTGCACTCATCAGTTTTGACTTTTGTCCATCTGTAAGTTTTACTCGGTATTCAAAATAAGTAGTCATTTTTTATTATAATATTTATATAAAATTAATTTCAGGAAATTTAATTAAATCTGCTATTTTTTTCTTTTTAGGTTTCGGTTTATTATATTTTTTTTATTGTATTTTTAATAAAAGGAACAAGATTAATTTTACCTTGTTTTTTTAAAGAAAGTTTAAGTTTCAAAGCCTTTATTTTATCTATTTTTTTTTCTGATTTTCTAATTTTAAGTTTGCAAGTTTTTTTTTATTTTCTCTATTTATAAAATCATTAGTTAATTTAAATTGTCTTTCACTAAATTTTAATTCAAATTTTCCCTCATTTGCCATTGACTTTTCAAGTTTATTAATTTGAGTATTTGTAAGAAAAACTGTAAAACCTTTTTTGTTTTTTAGGTTTTTATAGTTTAGAGGTATATATCTTTTTCCAAAACTTTTTATTTGTGATGGTGTTAAGTATATCGTATATTTTCTGTAATTATTTCCAACTTTAGTAGTTTTAGGAATTACTTTTTCTATTTTATTATTTAATTTAATTACAGAAGAACACGTTTCTCTGAGTTGAATATTGGAAATTTCTAAATTATATTTTCCTTTATTTTTTTTTTGCTTTATTAACATCTTTAATTTGTGATTTTGTTAGAAAAACTGTAAAACCTTTTTTGTTTTTTGGTTTAGCATAATTAAGTTTAAATGTGTGTCCAAGATTATTATACTTAAGAGTTTTACATAAAACTTTAAAAGATTTTATTTGAAGGGGGGTTAAGTGAATGAGATATTGATAGTAAACATTATTAATACTTTTTTTTAATTCTGGCATTTTATTTTAATGATTATATTTTTAGATTAAGCACGAAGTAATAGTTTTCCATCTTGTTGTGATATTTCTGCTATTCTTTCATGTAATACTAATGCGTAAATATTATAATCAGCATTTGGATTAGCCGTTAATTCGTAATGAAATGCGAGTTTTGTAACCCCTTCTTTGATATCCATTTTTTGTTTTGTTAGGTCAAAATAAACAAAACGAAATAAAGTTTCAAAATTACTTCTATTAAGTAATGTTCAACCTTGATAATCATTATCTGCATAAATGTATGACATTACATTTCTAAAAACTCTTGTCATATCTGTAGAAGGTTTAAAGTGAATATCTGGATATTCGTTTCCATTTGCAACTTCCAGGTAACATCTTGATATATTAGCATTATTTGGCAGATCAAAAGTGTCGTATAAAAATGGATTTGCTGTTTGTGAATCAATTCTTGCTGTATCAATTCCAAAAACAAATACATGACGTGGTTTTGAAATAGCATTTGTAATTCTAAAATGTCCTGTCTGTTGCTGTGTATTATTTGACCTTTCAACTACTTCATTCAAATATACTCATTTGTAAGGTTTAAGATAATTTTCCGTGTACAACTTTTGTCCTTCTGAATTAAAAGTAAGTCTTGGAATAAAAAGTTGTAGTCTTGTTATAATAACTCTACAATTATCAGCAGCTTCAAAAATTAAATTAGCATCTTTTTCAATTTCAATATTTAACTCAATTTTTGTATTAGGAAGTAATTTTTCATCCAATGCTTCAAAGAAAGAATATCTATTAAGAGGAATTTCACAGTTTACTGTGGCTGACACACCTAATAGCGCTTTTCTTGCAGCAAAACCTTTGCTATATTCTGCTCTTCTTTTAGCTAACCGATTTGTGCCACTAACTTCAAATTCTCTTTCCTCTGCATCTCTTGATGTATCAAGAAAATAAAATTCATTTGCAGCAACACTTTGCGCATATGAAGGACTATACTCAAGTAAATTTTTAATATTTACAACATGATGTGCATAATTACAACTATAAACTTCTCTTCCATTTGCTACGATACTTAATTTTTGTATAAAGGAGTTACTACCATTTACAATTCCGTTATGGTCAGCAACCGCGATATTTCCTCCATTTGCCAGCTTATTTACTTTAAAATCCATTGATAACCGTGCGTTATACCAATCAAAAGGAGCAGTTTCTCCTGTATTATCAGCAACAAATCTAAGGCCTGTTTTATTTTGGTGAGCGTTATTTGCTGGGGCTGTATCTAGAGCCTGTTCCAGGTCATAAACAACATCCTCATATCTTTCTAAATATTTTGGATTTCTAAAGGACTTCATTTTATTTTAATAATGATATAGTTTTTCTCTTACGTGTTGAACCACCACTAAGAATGGCATTCACTGTTTGATTTATCTCTTTTTTACTTGGAATTGTTTCAACATTTTCATTAAAAGTCACTTTTGGTTTACTATTATTACTTTTGGATAACATTTGCACTATTTTATCACCAGCCTTTTTACCAACATGTTCACCGGTTTTTGTTGCAGCTGCTGTTACCGCTTTTTTAGCTCCTTTTTTAACAGCTGATTTGACTGTTTTTCCAAATAATTTTGATCCAAACGATTCAAACACATCCATCATTCCTTCTCCATAAATATGTTGTCTTGTATATCTCCCCAATTCAGGGTCACATCTCATTTTAAACTCTGATTGTCGCATCATTTTATTTTAATAGTTATATTACATTGAATGGAGTATTAAAGTCATAAACCAATCAATACCATTAAAATTTACTGGTCTTCCAAGTGAGTCTGTCACATAGATTCTCATTTCATCAATGTGAAATGAAGAGACAGAGCAATACAATGGTCTTTTAGGCTCAAACGTAAATGGAAAAGACCTTGTAAGATTATCAGTTGGTATCACAGCAAGAGTATTTGTATTTATTCCATTTACAATGCTATCAGTTATTGCCCTTGTGTTGATATTCAACACATCAATCGAATTTGTGATATTTGTCAGTTTTGTTCCATACTCTGTTTTTGTAATAAGTTTTTTTTCAAATCCAATTAGGTCTCCAAATTCTGTTCCTCTCAGATCAAGTTGATAATCACCATCAAGTGATATGAGAACTCGATAGGCAGATAGAATAAAAGTTAGATTGATTGAATACTTCCTTTTCCCTCTTGAGTCCGTTGAGTGATGGTTTTTTTGAGTCATATATTGATGAATGTAATCATTGATATCTGAATAGGAATACATTCCATCTGTAAAAGTAATTGTTTGCCACGTCCTTCCATCATGGGTGTATTTGATTTTATTGTTTCCATAATCACTTCTAATGTTGTACCAAGAGTAAGTTATGGACAGCCGATCAAGAGCAAGTTGGTGGGATTTATCAGGGTCAAGTTTCAAAGATGGATTAAACTTAATAGTAAAATCACCAGGTCTGCTTGTTCCTCTTTTTTCCCTGTTTATCGAGGAAATGTGGATAGCTCGTTCTTCCGTTTTTATTTAATTGATATATAATTTTTTAGTAAATCATTTAGTTGTTTTTTTGAGATCACTTTCATTTGGTTGAGAAGATGTGCCATTTGAGAAAACTCAGGTATAACACCATTATTACCAGCAAGAATTGATCCACCAAGTAATTCAAGTCTGTTTAGAAGTTGATGTGGGTTGTTAAAGTAAATCATTCCTTCTCCCGTTTTATACTCAAGCGAACCTAGATAAAGTTCAAGAATGTTTTTGTAATGATTTAGTAAATCTTTTTGCATTTGAATGTTTTCTATTTCTAACTTTTCATCTTCTGTTTTCTGTTTTCTTCTCTTCAAACCAGCTATTTGCCCTGTAAATGTTTTTACATCATTTTTTACTTCATCACGTATTTCTGAAAGTCCTTCAGGGTTAGTATCAAAAAAATCATTTGGTCTTGGGTAACCCATATCTTTTAATACTCCTAAATCCACATTGTCAAGATTTTTTTCAATGTCATAACGTGTAAAAGATTTTTCTGATGTTGTTGGTTCTTCATAATCACCTTCCAAATCTGGTAATTCTCTCATGTCAGCCAATCTTAAATTAGTTTCATTAATTTTTTCCAATCCTGATGTTAATGCAAGTCTGTTTCTTTGTAGTCCTCTTGTAAGAGCAAGTTGATTTTTTTAAGTTGTGCTATAGTTGCGTCTTGCTGCTCATCAATACTTTTTTTTTAATGCTATCTTGAGATTTAATAGGTGGTTTAAATGTCTCTTTAAAACCTTCCCGAGCATCTTGTTTTTCCCATTTTGTTATTTTTATTACATCTCTCACCTGTTTAGTCAAAGAATCAGCTTCAATTTTATTCATTGCAAGTTTTTTTGTATTCTTGGATGTCCATTTTATTTAATGTACATATTAGATAAATGGAAATACCAAACTATGATAGTGGTGACAACCCAGATAAAAAATATAAACAGTTATTTCCTTACATGCCATCAGACACATTTCGGATGTTAATCTGTGGAAACAGTGGAACTGGTAACACTAATCTGTTGTACCACATGTTAATTAAACCACTGTTGTACTTCGATGAGATTTATCTTTATGCGCGTAATTTAGAGCAGCATAAATATAAGCGATTAATGCAAAAAATGAGAGAACTGAGTTCTAAAGTTGGATATGAAATACTTCATGTGAGTAATGATGAAATAACCCCAGTGTCAGAAATGGATTACGAAGACAACCAAAAACTTGTGATATTTGATGATTATGTTTGTGATAAAAACCAGAGACAGTTAATAGATTATTTCATCCAAGGACGACATAAGAATTGCTCTGTAATCTACCTCAGTCAATCATTTTACAAAATTCCAAAGGATATTCGACTGAATTGTTCTCACTACTGCCTGTATGAATTTCCATTATCAAGGGAGAGCAACAGAATATCATCTGAGTTGGGGGTTAACAAAGAAGATTATAAATCCGCAACAAGAAAACCGTATGCATTTCTATACGTTGATAAACCAAAAAAACGTATTGCAAAAAACTTTACTGGTAATCTAGCCTAATAAATAAAATGGGTATATTTAACGAGCAATCTTTTGATCATCCCTTTGCTAGAGGAATTCAGGGTGCTCCAGGAGTTGGATTTAGTCTAACCGCAGATGGTAATTATGATATGAATAAAAAAAGACTCACAAATGTTGGGGCACCTAGTGATAATACTGATGCTGCTACAAAGAAGAATGTTGATGATAATTCTAGTGGTTCACCCACAACATCACGATTGACAGTTGATTCAGACATTGATATGAAGGCTAGATACCGTCTACTAAACCTTAAGTCACCATCTGATGTAGATGAAGCAGCAACAAAATCATATATACACTGATAATAATTTTTTTAAATCTAGATGGAACAAAAAAAATGAGTGGAAATCTAGATATGGACAATAAACAAATATTAAATCTGCCAGCTCCAATGGGAGGAAAACAACCAACACCATTAGCTTTCACAGATTTAAAATATCTTTACGTTGCTGGAACAAATAAAATGACTAATAATCTAAACATGGACAATAAAAGTATAATTCATTTAAAACCACCAACAAACCCCACAGATGCTGCAGCAAAGAAATATGTTGATGACTCAATACCTGATACTAGTTCTTTTATAAAAAAAGATGGAAGTGTATCAATGACTAATAACCTAAATCTTGGAACCAAAAAAATAGTTGGTCTCGCAACTCCAACATCAAACACAGATGCTGCAACCAAAAAATATGTGGATGATAACACAGCTGCCCCAGATTTGAGTGATTATTTGGAAAAAGATGGTACCGTCGCTATGACTGGAGACCTTAATGTTGGTAATAATAAAATAGTTGGTCTCGCAACTCCAGTGTCAAACACAAATGCTGCAACCAAAAAGTATGTTGGTGATAATACTGGAAGTCCAGATCTAAGTGATTATTTGGAAAAAGATGGTACCGTCGCTATGACTGGAGACTTGAATCTTAACAATCATAAAATAAAAAATCTAAGTAATCCAACCCAAGACAATGAAGCGATAACCAAAGATTATGTTGACAAACTAGTTGACACTACAGCTCAACCAAGTCATTATAAAGATGAGTTAGCTTATCTCATGTCAAGTGGGTCTCAATGGACTGATGAAATAGTTAATGAAACTAGTTTTGCTATAAATAAGATAGATAACTTACCACCAAACCAAGGAAACTTTCATGACTATAACCACAAAGTAATTTTCATGACTATAAATAAGAATTCTCAGGGTAGTTATAAGTATAAAATGGGAATCAATTTTTACAGATTAGAAGGAACTACTAATTACACATTATGTTTGGAAATACTCAACACGAATTAATGTTACCCTTTGGGAAAAGACTCAAATAAGTGTTGATAAAGGAACATCAAAAGGATTATCAATTGGAAATGTTTTTATAAGGAAGTTCTCCCATAAATATACTGATTCAAAGGGAAAAATACAATATATGTTCTACCATAAAATAATAGTTAATTTTCGGAGGTTGTATTCTAATGTTAGTTCCTTTCTTCACATTCTTGTTAATATTCCACTGGAAAAATATTTACAGGCTATATTTCCACGTAACTTTTCAGGAGTTTACATGATTGCTTATGGTATTAGGGGTACAGTTAGCAATATCGACCCAGATAAAGTTTACGACTATCACACCGCATTTGATATCAAACCAACAGAAGTGGTGTACAATGTTGATATAAATGCAAATCAAAAAAAAATTAAAAATATCAAACTTGACCGACAAAATGATAATAGTGCTACAACAGTTACATTAGTAAAAGAAGTAGCTCCTTTTACTAAAAATGCTTTGTACAGATTATACTTTAGTGAGGTCTATGACTTTGCTAATGCGGATAGTTATGGAATAAATATAGGTTCATCTCGAGTTATTATTAATTCTGTAAAGCCTAATATTACATGTACACTACCAACTAATAAACACCTAAGTGAAATAAAAAAAGATGGCTTAAATGTTAATGGTTATGATGTTACTTTTTCTCCTTCACATTCTTCGAAATCTACTTTATGTATTGTTTTTAGTCATTGGAGAAATAGGAGTTTTACCCTAACTAAATATTTATCAACAAACAATAACATACTATTAAAATTAAATTATGATAAAACAAACAATAAAGTAACTTTAACTATCAATAAAACAACTCAAAATGTTACCATGCTAAGTAGTTTTAATGGAAAAATAATTGTTTTATGGCTAACAGAAAATTTTGATTCAAATGTTACAAAAGTTAAAATAAGTAACTACAGCTCAACATTAACTATACCAGCCGTTCAATACAATGTTAATCAACGTTGGAAGTTTACAACTGAAGATGGAGTGTTAATAAGATTAATGTATTCTCCAAACTTTTACGACTTTGACTCCGAGCAATTTCACAAAGTAATGCTTCAAGAAAAGTTAAATGGATCTTATATAGTATAGGGGAACCTACGGTTCCCCCTATGACCCCCTCCCTTGGCTACGCCGCATTAATATAATAATTTAATAAAATGAAGGATATCTTTGAATTCAATCACATTGATAAATCTCTGTCAGAATCAGACGTTGGATGTCTCAAAGACTTTTATGGTCACTATCACAAGAAATATTGGTGTTTTAAGCGGTCTTATAGGAGTTATAAATTTCTTGATGATGTTTTTACAATATCTGGAATAAGTCTTGTGGCTGTAGGAATAATTGCTGGTGGAATAACCCTAAACCCTGTTGTTCTCGAAGTTGTAAATGGCGCTGGAGTTGTCGTGGCGGGAATTGGGAAGAAAAAGAATTATAAGAGAAAAATTGAGATGAGTAGGATTGCATTTACAACGTATGAAAAGGTACTGGTTGAACTACGTTCAGCTCTTCGGGGTGATGAGTTTAACTAACAAGAGTTTATTGAACGCATGAAACTAATAGATGAAATGATAATTGATCAGACTCCTATAGCAGATAGATTTGCTAGTAGGTATAATAAAAAATTTAGTATAACTATAAAATAACTAAATAATAGTTTAAAGATTAAATATTAACTAATATATAACCTAGGATCTTAGCAACATCCTTTCCTCAAAACCAAATATTTTGCCTTATTATCAATAGTCTTCTCCAACATGTTTGCCATTTATATTTCGATATTACATTAATATCGAAATTAGATGTTTTTCTCAATTCTATGAATAACTTTATAATGTTTTTCCAATGTTTTTTTTTTATTACGAAATGCTTTTGTCCAATATTTACATGGAATACGAACACCAGCCATATATTTATGAATAAGTTTGGTTATTTTATCATAATCATTACTAAGTATAAATGCATAGTCATTATCACGGTACTTCTCTTTCATCTTCAGTTGAGCTTCTGATACATGGTAATTATTAGTTGGTGATTTAAATTCAATACAAAGACCTTTATAACCTTTGTGATAATCAAGAATCATTAAATCTGGTTGCCCGCGGGTATATCCTTTCTTATATGAATCTAGTCTCTTATCCTCTGTATCTTGATTCTCTCCCAGTCCGGCTACTAATATAAAATCTGGATAATAATTTCTAATTAGTTGAACAACGTTATAATGAAGGTCGGTTTCATTACCAATCATTATCATCTTATTCCAGGGACTATCAAACATTTTGTATTGACCATATTTACGGATAGTTGGAAGAACTGTAGTAAATACCCACTGGCGAAACTTTTTAGCAAACTCTAATTTAGAACTAACTACAAGCTCATAAAAACCAGGCTCATTAATAAATGTACAATATTTTCCTCTACTGTCATTTTGTTGACGCCCTGTTTCAGGGCCCCTGGTACCATTTTGTCGAGGTGGCGTTTTGCCACCCCTACAATTTGAGCCTCTGGTGTTATTTTGTTGGGGGGGTGTTTTATATCCCCCAATACCATTTTGTTGAGGTGGCGTTGAGACGGGGGAACAATATTTTCCTCTGGTGTCATTTTGTTGACCCGTCGTTGAGACGGGGGAACATTTAGAGCGAATAAGATGAAACATTTGTTTTCTGTTGATACATTTTTTCTAATAGCCTGATCAGGATCTCTATATCCAAGTATCTTAGCAACATCCTTTCCTCGAAACCAAATATTTTGCTTATTGTCAATAAAAGAATTCATTTCGATTCCTAATTCTTCATTTTAAAAACTTTTCTCCAACATGTTTGCCATTTATATTATACTTTTATCTCTTTAAGCCTATTATATTTCCCTCTAAAAACCTAACCCGTCGTTTTGACGGAAAAGCTCATTTCTATCTACACATAATATAGAAATGATTAAATCAATTGTAACATATGTAAATTACTACTTTCCATCTAATAAAACAAAATTTTATCCAGACAACTTTATTAAAGCTTGTCTTGTTTACCAGTTTTTGTATGCAAAGTATTTCACACAAAAATTGGACATAGACCAAATTATTTATAGACTAACAGACGCGAGACACTCCCTCAGATCAAACTCAGCTGTTCTTGCTAATCATTTAATATTTAGTCTCGCTTTTAAGGCTTTCTGGAAACAGTATAGGATTCGTAGAGGATGTGTATATACTTTCAACACACCGTTTAAAGAATGTGAAGTACTTGGTTATTTAACTGGAATTATTTACTGGTGCTTTCACAGAGGACTGATTTGTAACTTTCCCACCACTTTTCATAATTCTCCATAGTTTGGGGAGAAATCCTAAGATAAACTAGTTTATACTTTTCACAACCCATTTGTTCTAAAAGTTTTTTAATTAGATAAAAAATACTTATCATTCTCTTTCTACAGTATTTTTTGTTTAGTATTTCCATGACGTGATTGTCTATTGCCATTAGTTTATTGTACAGTTCATACTTTTGATCCTCAGTTAGGTTTAGTCTTTTAGAAATTTGATTAATCTTTTTCTCATAGTGATACTTTCTCTGATAAATACTCTTCTTACGAAAATGTAATCTATCGTAATCTTTAACATCATAGTAACCCAAAACATGTCCATTTACTACACCACAATAATCACAGATTTTATAACCTAAATGAATAAAAAAACATTCACTATTGTGACAATTCCAGCATCTAGCACGTCGAGTATTTTCTTCCTCTATGGGTTGTTTAGTATAATTATGCAATATTTCTAGATATCTTTTTATTTGGTCTTCTGTATAACACATTTATTATTTGTATCTTTATTATCTTAAAGCAAGTGTTTTTACTTTGTCCTTTAAGACCTGTCTTTTATCATCTTCATGACTTAGAGCAATTTTATTTACTTCTTTTGAATATATATCATGATTTTTACTTTTTATAATTTTCATAGATCTCATTTGCTTTTCACCAGAAAATAAATATTGGACATAGTCTTCAAAATCTATTCCCTTTTTTACAACATTTTTCTTTATACCTTTACAATTACGAACTTCTTTAATCTCCTCTACTTTAAAACAATGTAGCTTGGGTCGCAATCCAATAAAATAAGTAATTTGTTTTCCTGCTACTTCATCTTTAAACATACCAATAACTTTCTTGTTAACTACTGTCAATATTCCAGATGGATGGTTAGGAGGATAATCTGAAGTATCAAACTTGGTTTTTATGTCATAGGATATATTAAAAAGGCAGACGAGAGATGGTACGATATCAGGTGGTACCGTTCGCGATTTCTGCAAACTTTGGTTGTAATCTTTCCCCGAACGTCTACGCAAGCAGCCTGACGCAAGTGAAAATCCATGCAAAAATGGCGATTTTTTAGTTGGTTTTTAGCGCGAAAAACCCAGTGAAATCCGATAAGCTGGCATTAATCGACGGTAAGATCTTGAATTTGGTGTTTATTTATATTAATATTCCGGTTGTACCCATTGAGATTTGGTTACGAGTAACTTACAATCAGAGACAAAAAACACTCAAATTCGCTTCAGTCTTATTATTCCGCCACATTTTAAAGATCAAATCGTGGCTCGAATGCAGCTCTAGCCTGTTAAATTCCCGGATGTGACCGGGCATTCTACGCGATGTTTAAAACAAGCGTTTTGGGTGTATTACCCTTCTTAAGTTGTAAGGAGGTCGTGTGGCCGAGCGGTTAGAGCGCTGGACTTGCAATTGGGAGGCCCCGAGTTCAAGTCCCGCCCTTACCGCTAGCTGGATTTCTTCACGGTAGTCCCGAATTCAAATCTTTGACCATACTTGTAAATAGCTGCAGCCTGTTTGCCTCCGGCCAGTTGAAATTCTTAACCCCATTATGTTTGATTTCAATTATTTGTTTCAACCATTTGCGCTGCCCCAATAGCATATTAAGTGCCATAAATACTAACGAAGATAAATAAAGGAATAAAATAATTATTATTGTAAGTTGTTTCAGAAGAAATGGCACAAAAAATGTCCTTTTCACTAGACTGTGTATACTGCTCCAGTTACATTAAGTATTTGCTGAGATTTGAAATAGTATGTCAAACAGTTTAAACCAAACGTTATTTAACAAGTATTCAGACATCTTACAGCCACTGCAAATTTGTCAGGTTGGAGAATATCATTACGTGAAGATCCACAATGTTGTTGGAACTAAGATCCCTGAAAAAAAAATTAAAAAGAAAAATTCAAGATGTTGCTACAAAACCTATTTCCCTGTGATTGTTTCTAGAAATGGTCGACAAAATAGGTGTTTCGGGTGTATAATCTTTCTTCAGTGTAAGCACAAGTCGTCACATACCTCGGTGGCTTAACTGGCATAATTCATTATTAAAACGTTAACAGTTTTTATTACAAAAGACAGGTTATGTACGCCAAATGACTATTTGTAATAGTTTTGAAATTTTGTTCCACAGAATTTTTCTATATGGTCAGAAAAAGCTATAAATAGACTCTTTAAACCATCTTTGGAATAAAAAATTCAAAAAAAAAAGGGGGGGGCTGGTTTGCAAGAGCGACTTTTTTCAATTTCTAACTCTTGTCTCTACCTCGTTTCCATGGAAACGCATCAGTGTTACGTTGCATGTTTGACATATTTAAGTGGCTGTCCACCTAAGAGCGGTCCGGCGAGTTTGGGATCGCCCGTAAACCTTCTCTTTATTTTTTGTGGGTCAAAAGGACTTAATGAGGAATGATTAAAATCGAACTAATTTTTTTCAAAATCTTTTTCTCTCCTTCGCTACAGCAAAAAACTTTTTTCCTGTCTGAGAGCGCTTTTATAACCTTATTCGAAGGCCGAAATTCAGTAATTTTAAAAGCCGCGATTTCTGCAAACTTTGGTTGTAATCTTTCCGCGAACGTCTACGCAAGCAGCCTGGCGCAAGTGAAAATCCATGCAAAAATGGCGATTTTTAAGTTGGTTTTTAGCGCGAAAAACCCAGTGAAATCCGATAAGCTGGCATTAATCGACGGTAAGATCTTGAATTTGGTCTTTTTTTATATTAATATTCCGGTTGTACCCATTGAGATTTGGTTACGAGTAACTCACAATCAGAGACAAAAAACTCTCAAATTCGCTTCAGTCTTATTATTCCGCCACATTTTAAAGATCAAATCGTGGCTCCAATGCGGCTCTAGCCTGTTAAATTCCCGGATGTGACCGGGCATTCTACGCGATGTTTAAAACAAGCGTTTTGGGTGTATTACCCTTCTTAAGTTGTAAGGAGGTCGTGTGGCCGAGCGGTTAGAGCGCTGGACTTGCAATTGGGAGGCCCCGAGTTCAAGTCCCGCCCTTACCGCTAGCTGGATTTCTTCACAGTAGTCCCGAATTCAAATCTTTGACCATACTTGTAAATAGCTGCAGCCTGTTTGCCTCCGGCCAGTTGAAATTCTTAACCCCATTATGTTTGATTTCAATTATTTGTTTCAACCATTTGCGCTGCCCCAATAGCATATTAAGTGCCATAAATACTAACGAAGATAAATAAAAGAATAAAATAATTATTATTGTAATGCGTTCACCTTCCTATTAATTTGTTTCAGAAGAAATGGCACAAAAAATGTCCTTTTCACTAGACTGTGTATACTGCTCCAGTTACATTAAGTATTTGCTGAGATTTGAAATAGTATGTCAAACAGTTTAAACCAAACGTTATTTAACAAGTATTCAGACATCTTACAGGAACTCCAAATTTGTCAGGTTGGAGAATATCCCTACGTGAAGATCCACAATGTTGTTGGAACTAAGATCCCTGTAAAAAAAATTAAAAACAAAAATTCAAGATGTTGCTACAAAACCTATTTCCCTGTGATTGTTTCTAGAAATGGTCGACAAAATAGGTGTTTCGGGTGTATAATCTTTCTTCAGTGTAAGCACAAGTCGTCACATACCTCGGTGGCTTAACTGGCATAATTCATTATTATAACGTTAACAGTTTTTATTACAAAAGAGAGGTTATGTACCCCAAATGACTATTTGTAATAGTTTTGAAAGTTTGTTCCACAGAATTTTTCTACATGGTCAGACAAAGCTATAAATTGACTCTTCAAACCATCTTTGGAATAAAAAATTAAAAAAAAAAAAATGGGAACGCTCGTTTGCAAGAGAGACTTTTTTCAAATTCGAACTCTTACCTCTACCTCGTTTCCATGGAAACGCATCAGTGTTACGTTGCATATTTGACATATTTAAGTGGCTGTCCACCTAAGAGCGGTCCGGCGAGTTTGGGATCGCCCGTAAACCTTCCCTTTATTTTTTGTGGGTGAAAAGGACTTAATGAGGAATGATTAAAATGGCACTAATTTTTTTCAAAACCCTTTTCTGTGCTTCGCTACAGCACAAAACTTCTTTCCTGTCTGAGAGCGCTTTTTCAACCTTATTCGAAGGTCGAAATTCAGTAATTTTAAAAGCCGCACTTCTTCGTAAGGGATAAATATCGCTAAAATCTACATAGTATAATGGATTTAGCTGCAGTTGACTTGTCCTGTGACCGAATATGGAATAACTTGACGCAAAATAAAATAAAATAAATAAAATCAAACACGAGCCTCTTCGGCGTTTTTTTTCGCCCTTGACAAATTCTTCCAAAGTAAAAGCTGAAATCTCCAAAGCGGTAAAAAAATCACAGGTAACATGCCCTTCACTGCAAAGATCTTACCTTATTCTGTTAGAAAATAAAGTCTAGGCTAGAAAGTGTCGGTTTATTAACTTAAGCAGCCGTTAATCATTGAATTAC